TGCCGCAATTGTTAGGTTCCAGGACCACCCGAGATAAGTGAAAAACCGGTACGCTAGTAGATACGCTATATTTAGGTACGCTCTATAGTAGGTAAGTAATATTTACTTTAATATTCATACATTATTTTAATAGTTACACACTATGTTAAGGTTTTATGAGCCCTCCCCACACACTTATACACTACATAACACTTTCCCCATTATACCCGTTACTTTTAAAACACTCCTTAGCGGAGAGGGGTAGGCGAGTGCGAACAAAATGCATGGGACCCACGAAACAGCAAATCCACCAAAATTTAAACATCTCTATCGAAAAGGAGAATCACACGCAAAAGGAAAAGGAGCAGAAGAAAGTAAAAAAACTTGGTAACGGCAAGGTGGACGAGGGGGTCAGCACAGAAATGCAACAGGACCAGATCAGAGCCTAGAGACTCTTCATTCTAGTTAACACCACACCTGGAATTTATCTGAAATTCTAGACCTGAACAATCTTTAAGGACACAACAGGTTCTATCCATCACCAGTGCAACTCTGGGATCTCTATCCATCTCTGTACGATCAAAAATATCTAAATTATTGCCAAAGACATGACAATTTTGGTGGATAGTGGCCTTTCGCACACATTACTGAGCACAATCTGTGTGCAAATCATGGGTTGCGTGTTTTGCATGTTTATGCTCACATCCACACAAAAATGAATTCCCCCAGACACATGCTTCTTTACAGTTGCATTGCAGTTCCGAGGTGTTTGTCCTAACCAATCGTTTTAGTGCACTTGCTTTTTTTGTGTGGTTGATTGTTTTCCCTGCATCTGCATGCAGGTGCTCCTCATGATTCAGACTTTTAAAAAAATCCATCTTAACATGTTACTCATAGAATAGTCAGACTTCTCTGCCAGACTAACACATATTTGGGATTTGAATCACTGCCTTCACACTTTGAATCAGCCTTGGAATTTTGTACATGTCCAAAAGTACAGCATAATAGCACTAATATAGTTGAATTTACACTTAAGTTAACACTGTATTGTATTCATATTTTTGTGGTGCATTTATAATTTGCTAAAGTCTAAAGAATGATCAAACCTCATCCTGGATGTTTCCAATGGGTATGACTAAGTGAAGGCAGACAGAAAGGGGACTAAGCAGGGCAGGGCAGTCTGATCTATAAAAGAGCAAACATTTCTGCCTGAGATCACATTACCAACATGCTGAGCACATTCTAAAAAAAGGTTTCGGACTAGTCTGATCTGGCTTGGTGCATGAGCTCTGCCTGCAAGCAGCAAAACACTTTACCACTTTTATTTCCTTTATATTCTTCAGTTTAGACACATTTATCAGCAGCTAGACTTTAAATTGAATTGTAATTTTTAAAGTCAGAGCTCAGCTACATGGAGGTGTTGTGTCTGTAACTGCAACAAGGGACATCAAGAAAACACACTTCTTACTGACTTATGTAATGTAATGCTTAGCATCTTGCTCTAAGAGTTGTGAACCTTGTTTGATTTGGATATTACTCCATTACTCCATCAGAGGCTGGAACAAAATTGCATACTAAAATGAATTTAGGAAAAAAACTTCTAAAAATACATTCTGTTTTATCAATCAGTTTTCTTTAAAAAATAAAAATAAAAAAGAAGGCTGGGAAAAAAATGTGAAATGTGAAATCTCCAACTGTTAGCTAATAAGAACAATATACACGTGTATATATATGATTTAAGAACAAAATATATGAAGAATATAAAAACAATCCATGCTTGATCCCCATCATGAATTATAGCAGTCCTTTTTTCAGGGCTATTTTATACATTTATGCAATGACCAACCTTTTCTATCAACTGCATCACAAACACCAATCAAGTTTAGTTATAAGCACAGTTATGCATGCAACTGCTTGCTTACAAAATACCTTAAGCAATGTCAGATGGACACATAATGAAGTACAAGCCACAAAGGCTTTATTGCAAACCAGTCCGAACAAAAAAAAAAAAAAAAGACCTCAAGGCAGTGTGGACAAAACCAGTGAAAATGATTGGTCAGATTATTTTTACTCACTGCTAATGTGCTGCCTTATGAGCAACTGCTATTATAATAACCACTAAAACTCATACAATCTCAGACAGGACAATTTGGAAAAACTTCTATTTTTTTTAATTTATTTTTTTTAAAAGAGGTCGAGGCAAATTGCCTAACCAGAACCCGGGAATTCAAAAGACTCAGAAGAAACAGCTGTATACAGCAGTGCTTGTGAGGCAGAAGACGTGCAAGTACATCATCAATTCAGGTCTGCTTAGGGTTATCACTGAGTCAAATATATAATAAGAAAGACATGTAAAACTGCGCAATTGCCTTCAGTTCCATAGTTTCATTGCCAGCAGCTGATAACTTTAACTTTAAACCTAGTTCAAGACCTAGCAAGGCAATAGCTGTGGATTCCTTAATTTTGGTCGTTAGTTATCAGTTATTACACATTTTTCGGCCACAAAGGAGAAAGTGATGTTTGGTAGTGAGCGTCTGCATTGGCAGTTTAAGACAGTCAGGGTTATGTCACAAGTACAAAGGAGATTTCTGGATTCAACCATAATAAGAAGTTATTCACTTGAGTATTTTTTCTGAGTTCTATGAGGAAAGTACCTTGGTCTTTGGATAAAATAAGGTAATAGCTTATATGAAATTCATTCTAGCCAAGATGACATATGTTGCATGGCTCTAATGAATAAAAATACATCCATAATCTTCCATCTTTCCAGACTGATCAAGGAGGAATGGGTTTTGTTATCCAACCAATTCAGAGGAAAGCAGAATTAACCCCTCTCTTCTCATGATGTGGCAGAGTGAGCATTACCAGCATGCGCACCACATTTCACCCATCACAAACTTCCAGAGTCCATGAACTTTTAGTCCTGAGACTTACGTTCAAGCACATACACACAAAGAGGACAGTATATCTCCTCAAGCAGCCAATATGTGCCAACAGGCTCTCCTGCTCTCTCCCTCTCTTGCTCCAGCCAGCTGGCTTTCTGAAAGACCACATTCTTCCATCTGTTGCTCCACACAGTCACAGGAGACTCATCATTGGCTGCTGTGGATGCAACGTATGGCGGGTTAAGGGTGACAAATTTAGAAAAATTAAAAATATCATGAAATAGTACATGATAAAATTAATCCCTGTAAACCAGTGTATCATAAAATATATAATTAAACAATTAAATACATCATGAAATTATAAAATATGCAATTCATTAATTAAATGTCCATGTGAAACAATGAAATCTGCCTTTTTAAAATCATGAATTGAAATACTAAAACTTCCTTTTAAAAAGGACATTTTTATCTATAAATATTTATTATCTCACTCTGTATTGATTTATTTCATGCTCCTATGCAAGTGATGTCATGAAATAATCTAAACTGAAACCCAGCCACCCAAATTCAGTGGGCGGAATTTGTTTGGCGTTTCCACAGACTCCAGCGTCTGATTGGCTGCTTTACATAAAAAAATATTCCATAATTACATTATGTTAATAATTATTGTATGATGGGTTTCATTATTTAGTGGTAAATTAATTATCTATCAAATAATTGTATGGTATATTTAATTCAGTAATGGGAAATGTATAGGCACTTATTTCATGACATGTTTGTTTCATGATACATGTATCAAACGTTGTCATCCCTAACCCTCCACAGTGAGAAGGCTAGTAATCCCAAATAGACCAATGAGTGCGCCTTGATAGACTAGATCATAAGATTAAAAGTTAATAAAAAGTCTAATAGACCAACATACAATGGTTAATCTGGGGTCTTAGTTGTGATTTAGATAGTTTTCTATACCTTTAAATAGAGTTGGGTTCAAATATTTTCATATGAGAAGCGCTTGCCTTCGATAAAAAAATGAGTGAATAAAAACAGAACATAAAAGTAAATAACATTGGTATAAGTGACACCTAACGTTTTAAGGTAACAGAAATAAGATACTTCACTGACAAATGATGTCAACTAAAAAAACTTTAAAAAAAACAAACAAAAAATGCAGCGTTCTACGGGCTTAACTTCGATTCTACTGCTTGTCAAGGGAAATGAAATAGATTATTTCTGGAAAAATCGATCCTATTGGTGTGGGAACATCTTTAAGCATTGTGAAAGGTTTTCCACTATACTTTGCTAAGCAGTACTTCGGCTAGCTAACTGCTAACATGAGCTGGATAGTATTTGCCAAACATGAAAACTTGAAAAAGCGACAAAGCAGCAAAATGAAAGGCAGAGACAGCTGAGATACTAAAACAGATTCGTGTAAATGTTTACCTTATTTTTTGGACGCAGGGAAGGCTGTAAAATCCTTATTCGTAGCAAGCATGTCTCCTACCGCTACTTAAAACGTGTCTTTGACTGTGTGCATACGTATTTGTAAAATGAGCTAGATTGCTAATGTGAGCTAGCAGCTGCCAGTTAGCTACGTGTCCTCAAAGCTGGATGATTTCTCTCCGCTTGATCGGGTGTCGCTAATTGCCCCACAATTCAAGGGGCAAACGAACAACCTCCCAAGAATAATACACCAATTTATGAATCGAATACACATGTATATATACATATATATATATATATATATATATATATATATATATCATTGAATGCGTTTTTTTTATGGCTTACACAATAAAAGTACTGTGACACTCATTGTGACTGGTTTGAGAAACATTATCTTGTTAGCTTCAATATAGACTATTCATCTATTCAATTGTTTTTTGTATAAAATATTTTGTATATTTTTTAATTCAATTTCAACTAACAATAACTTTTTAATGTGAAATTATTTTAAAAAGTGTTTAATTCTTAGAAACCACCTATCGTAATTCTTAAGTTATTTTCAGGTATATACACAAAAACCTAATTTAGCTATTTAAATCTGACATAAAATCTACTGTGAAGATGCCATCCAGCATGACTTTTACTGAGCTCCCACAAGCAGAACCAACCAATCAGAATCAACATTCAACAGGCTTGAAAAATGTTTTAATTCAAATTCAATTCTATCTTTTAACCAAACAAATGCCAAATACCCATTTTAGTTGTCTCAAAATGAATGTGATTCAATTGCCCTATTGTGTAATCTTTTATAGCAAAAGAATGGCTCACGAAAAGGCATGCTTTAGTTTCACAGTTGATCCCTTTCAGCCAAGTGAATGACATAATATCACAATACCGGTGTGTAGTAGAAATTATGAGACTGTATTCCGCCAAAAAATTATTGGATTCTTGGGACCAAATTGCAGTCAAGTAGAACACATTAGGGTAAAGAGTGGTATGGTAAGTTTAACATATTTTTAAAAACTATAACTTTTAGACAAGAAGAGTGAGTCAGCAAATAGAAAATTCGTCATTTAATGCAACATAATTGTGACTGAATTACAATTACTCTCATGGAAATAAATCACCAAACTGACAGGATGTTTCATACAGGTATATATTACAGTGTGCCTTGTCATATAATACAGTCAGATTCTGTTGTTATTAAAAATAAGCACTGGAGGAGAAAGTGATACTTCTCGATTTTATTGTAAATTGGACATTATGCACATTATTTAGCAATTCATGACTTTTTAATTAGGCTTGTTATGTAGTCACAAAACTCCCTTCATTGAATGAGAGTTCTGACAATGCCAAGTCAAAAAGGATATCAAGCCAGGAGCACTGCAAGCTTGAAATCGCACATACAGGACAGACGGAGCGGGAAGTACCAAAAAAAGAACACTGAGTGGCCGACAGTGGTAGTTGCATGGCCTAAGATACCAGTCAATGAACACAAAACCATTTTCTTTGCGTTTCAAATTTTTAAAATTAAGTGTATGGGTCATTAATTGTGAAATGAAAGTAACTGGTTTTAGCTGTTCCATCTGAACTTTGCAGTAGATGAAAACTAGATTCTCCCAAAAGATTATTCGTTTCTCACCATATTTTGAACTGTTTTTCATTGGGACAAACTAAAGGTGTGGTCTCACTAACACAATAAATATTGCACACATGAAATTGTACTCAATATGGGTATTTTTGCATACAAGTGTTAGCCTTCATTCCTATGTGTTCGAGTTTTATTTTTCCTTAAACAACCTTTTTCATCATAGACCCAGTATACAGAGGACTTAACAGTTTCTGTGTAAAGAAAGGCAGTAGCTCTATGTGTAACGTGACGTCCGGCTGTGAGACCAAACCTTTCTTTGCCCTTTTACTGATTTTTTTTTGTACAAAAACAATACAACTATCCAGTCATGCAATGTTGTTTTAGAGGGGGTAAGGTGATCTGTCTTCTATCTTCTCGTTTGTTTTTAAGCATTTTGCATCTCCTTGCCAATCTTGTAGCTCAGGATCTTGTTCCAGTCAATCTTGGTGCGTGTCACAGGAAGCTGGCGGCGTAAGGCTTTGAAGGTAGTGTCCGACATGGTCTGGTAATTCTCATTGATGGCCGTCTAGAAATAGACATTTTTTAAAAATCATTATTTTTTTTAAAGGAAAGAGAACATTCCTGCTATCTCTCTGATGAGTTTCCTATATTTCTCCAGGCTCAGGATGGTCTGTTTCACTGCCATCGAGAGCTCCTTTGACCACATGTTGCTGTTCTTTTTTGCAGCCTTCTGAGTCAATCTTCCAATTACTTTGGTCCCTCGAAAAAGAGGTGGCTAGATATTGAAGAGCTGTAATTCCTAAACCCTTGCTCCAATTTGGATATAAAATCACTAACATTACAGCTGAGAGTCTGTACTTTAAGACCCCATCATGCAATTCTATCCTGAATATTTTTTAGTAAACTGCTAAAATAAACTTTCACTGTCTAATTATATTTGGGCCTAACTGTATATGTATCAAAACATGAGATAAAGATACTGTAGGGAGAAAAAAAATGCATGTGAAATCCATTTTCCACCACTTCAGTTGACATACTTGATAGTCGTTCTCTGCAGCCTCCATGATCTTGACAAACTCCTTTGCAGTTGAAGCCTCATTCTAAAAAATAACAAGCAAGATATATTCATGCTAGCACAGAGGAGAAATTATGACATATACAAACAATTCCAGAGTATAAAGTCTATCCGCTCTTCCAAAAAATAAATAAATAATTTGGAGGAATAATTTACTTGGTTAAAATGGCCCCTTACACATATTAAAGAGCAGCTGCTTTGACATTATAGAATTCCAATCACTATCAAAGCATTAAACAGGTATAATTAATTTGTCGATTTTGAGCGTTATAATCATACTCACTAAAATTGACATGGACTCTTGAACCTCTTTATGGCTCACGAGCTGAACATTTCCATCTTCATAGTAATGAACCTGCAAAGATGAAGGTGTCAAAACAAGAACTAAAAAGTAAGAAAGCATTCCGTGAAAAAATCCTCTCCTCTGCTGTTCATTAAAATAGTTTCAAACCAGGTACTTTTGTACACTGCAATTTCTATTGCACAATGAAAGGAGCTGATAAATAAGGAAGCAAAAACAACATTTCTCAACACCTCTCAAGCTGAGTACGCTAGTTGTTGACAAAATCCTTGAGCCTAGTGAAAATTATCCGACAAATCCATTGTCTGCACTGTTGACTACCACCACTTGGACGCGTGATGGTACCAAAAAATTGTTGAGAGCAAACACTATATGCAAAGTGTGATTGCTGTATAAATCACAGAATCACAAATTCAATCAAAATACCTGTATTTTCATTATCCCTGCCACTTGAGTGGTGGAGGGGGAGATGGTAAATTTCCACTCTGACCTCCATCGTCCATTCCTGAGCAGAGGTGTAAAGAGAAAAACAGTACGCCATCACACCTCTTACTTCAATGACTGGGGAGCAAATTTTCCTAAATTTCTTCACAAGAACTTTCCATCAAGGAAGACCACGCATAGCCTAATCTTGAAATGCACTTACTAAAAAAATGAACAAAAATATCAACACTTGGATTTTCAATTCCGCCATGTCTTACTTACTTACATTTATGCTGTTATTAAGTTAAAATGACCAGAGCATAAGCCAAGTCTAGGTCTGCGCACGTTAATAAGAAACATGTGAAAATGAGAGATTGAATAGAATCTAATAAACATAAACTCCAAGTAAACGCACAATTGCTTTCACAGTCATTCATTGTCATCAATAAGAGAGATGGACCTGGACAAAGTTGCACACTACTATTATTTAAACAAATTTAGGAACAGTGGATGTGCTGGATACTACTTCCCTTGGAAACATCCTGTTATCTATGCATTTCAGTCTGCATTACATTTTTTTTCCTTAAAAAAAGTTGTGTAATTACTGTTTCAAATGACTAGATGGCACAACTGCAACTGAAAGACACTATTCTGGGAAAAACAAAAACACTGAAAAGGCTTATTACGTACTGGAAATCCAAAAACCCCTTAACTGTTCATTTTCAACAGTAGTGGTCAGTTGTTCCACTAACACATTTTGTGAGGTTATTATACCACAAAATTCTTAAGGTCAATTTATCTAAACAGCAAAGAGGAGTAGTTGAGTAGTAGGGTAAAGAGAGGTGTGGTAGTAGTGATTGTTATTCTATTTATAGAACAAAAACCAGAGACACGGCACCCTCCGGATTTGAGTTTGAAATAACGTGATGAATGTGCCCATTTACAACCTGTTCATATCAACAACAATTACCTTTGTTTCTGTTCAAAAAGGACATGAAACTGACATTAAAAAAGTATGTTTTATCACAAATATACCAGAAATTTTTGGGTTGAAACTGATGGCATTCGATGCATACGATGATGGTTTGATGCCCGTCAATGGTTTTCCCGTAAATCTGATGAGAGAAAAAGAACGTTAAGAAAAGTAAGATATTAAATGTGATTAGTTTTAGATTTCACATGGACAGCTTCATATTTTTTTAACAAATACAATTCTTGCCCAAACCTTTTTTCTTAAGTAATGGATTGTTACAGTGCCTCGAAAGAAATAAAAATAACTACCACTAAACATGCTTTATATGGTGCCATAGCCTGATTTACATTTAATTCACATTGTATTCATATAGCACAAATCACTATAAATCTCACCTCTTGGTACTTCAAAGATACAGTTACAAAGCCAATTAGAATCTAATTTACTGTAATTCAATTGTAATCCAATCAGTTCTATAAACTGAATCGGGTCAGTTTATTAAACTCCAAATGCATTCAATTTACACAGCCAATTAAAAAGTTTCCAAGTTGAAGAAATTAGCAGACTGCACAAAATCAACAACACTTGAATGCACAGGAGCTTTGGTTATTTTTGGACTTTTCTACATCGTTAATTTATTTTGTTGTTAGAAGGCTGGGGTAGAACCATAAAAATAAATATCACGATGACACAAAAATATCTGTTTCAATGAGTGTAGGAAAACTGTTTTTCGAACTGCCTTTTACATACAGTGCACACTCCACAGGGATAGTGCTCCTTGACATAGGCCCTCACGGCAGAGTCCACAGCACTCCGCCAGCCTTCCAGAGAGCTGTCCACATCATGGGGCCGTGGGTCACTGGCCTCTTTTCTCAGATGGTCAAACTTAAAGGAGATTTTATTCTTGGGGTCCAAAACCCGACCGTTCCCAAGGTCACCATGCTCTGTGATTAAGACCTGAATTGTAGAGATGTAAATAATAAGAAAAGTATGAAGAGCAAGGACAGAAAGAGATCGCTGCTCCCACAGTGGGGAAATTAATTTATAAGAGCAGTACACATTAAACACAGTTGTCACAAAACAGTTGTTGTGAAAAAGTATGTAATTGCAAAAAAAACTAAAAAATAAAAATTCAATAAAATCAAATTCAATAACGATATAATCAAGCAATGTGCACATAAATATTGGGGAGAATAACCAGAGCGCAATATAAAGGAAAAGAAAGGCAGAGCCAATAAAGCCTGTCAGAAAAAATAAGACAAGGATAAAACAATATTAAAAGAAAAAAGGACAGAAACCACAATGATCTGAACTTTCATATCAAGCAGGTCAACCCGTCGCTCGTTCTGCTAAGTTTAATTCAGGAATTTATGTCAGTGTTAGAGGAACTGAAGGACTTGATAACATCTTTTCTTAAGATCATTCCTGAGGCTGACACACAGCCTTATTCATTCACTCTGTTACTCAGAAACTCACAGACAGAAGGAAAGATGAAACAATCAAAGCATGATTGTGACTGTCTGAACATCTTAAGCTTATTGCCTCTAATTTAAAACATTTCTGACAGAATGCTATCAGAGTAACAAAGACAATAATGAGGGACACATTATTTGCAATAGTAAGACCAGTTTTGATCAACTATTCTATGTTAATCACTGTGCAGCACTTAACTGAATGGATATTTTCTTCAATGTGATGTATGTGACTTTTTTTTATGAGCATTCTTATGAACGTTCATTTCACTTTCTTCTTTAGTGTGTTGCCAGTGGTAACATACATTAATAATTGCATGGATATCTTTTTCAGTATCATTAGACGGCTTAAAATGGTTGAGCTCACCTGTTCTTCATAGCCCTCGATTTTCACAGGGGTAAACTGGTCCAAGTTGTACTGTGCAAATGCACTGAAAAGAGAAAGCAAAAGTGATTATTTGTAAATAAACAAATATAAATAGAGATTAATTTAACATATTCAATGAGACAATATACAGACATAAACCAAAGAATTATGGGCACTCACAGCGCAAGAAAATATTGTTCATCATACTCTTGCTACTACACCAGAGAATCAGACATGAGTCTATTTTTATTTCCCAGCCTTTTTCTTCATGCATAGGATTTGTGCTACTTTGATGAGAGCTTAATATTAATGCGTTGATCGGTGTTCCTGATCAGCAATAGTCACCTAAGAATCAGCAACAAAAGGTCTGTTCTGTGGCAGCTCGAACCCACAGCATTTTCAGCAAACGTGGTCATTTATGTATTAGCTCCCCAAGTTTGAGAAATGTGTTTGAAGTTTCATAGTGGAAAAAATTCTATGAATCAAGAGAAAAATTCACGAAACAGCACTTGGAGATACTTACTGCGCTGCACCCTCCCTGAGAAGATTGTCATTGTTGAGCAGCAATCGCACATCTGAGGGAAAAATTAAACGTGAGAGTAAGATAAAACTGTTTAGTAAGTACACAGACTACCAAAAGAAAGATGCCTGTATTAAAAGTGTGCGCCATCTATGCCAGGGGTCTGAAGTTGATATGGTAAACTAGCTCAGTGGGAAGGGGCGGCAAAAATCAAGAGATGAAATGGGGCAACATGGCAGGAGAGGAATACGTTTTAGTGTGCATGTCTGAGTGTGTTTATCTGTGAGGCTGTGGCAGATAAAACATGTCTGTTCCTTGTAGTTGATGGTATCTATGATATCACATCATGTCTCCACAGAAAGCTTCAATTGGCCAAAACATCAGTCTTGTTTTGTTTTATCAGTGATCACAGCGAAACCAAATGTCTTTGTATTAACACTTTAACAACTTCAAACAGTATTTAGGAGATCAAGAAAATGCTTTAAGCATCTCCAGCTGTGTCACAGTGCGTGTAAAAATAGTAAATATAGCTGGCTGAATATTCACTGAATAAATGGATGTATATCAAAAAAGGAACAATACATAGATCCTCATCAGGAAAAAAATTTCTTGTCACAATGGAGTATCTTATCTAGTAAGAATTGATGGCTATATTTCATTTATGTGTTTTTTGAACTGACATAATTTCACCTGAACTTATATGGTTTACATCTTGTGTTAGCTGTATGAGTTACATCTATTTATTAAAGACAAACTACCTGCTTTGTCCTAATTCTAATTAGTCCTAATTCTGTAAACAGATTAGCAGTGGAAAAATGAAGAAAGCTTAGAAATGCAGTATATAATCAAAAATAGATTAGTTTGAAGTCTCACCATTGAAAACTTCGTTGAACTCTCCTGGCGGAGCATGGATGACGAAGTTAGCTGCTATACGAACCTACAAAGACATATGGTAAAGATTTAGATTGGGTATCACTTTTAACACAGATAATTGTAACATCGTTTTTTTTTTTTTACAAGAAGATTGCATCTCAAAAATGTACTTAACCTAAGAACAGAATTTAACATCTTATAACCATGGATCATTTTTACAGAAAAAGGAATCTGTACAGTATCATCCATGTTAAAACAGACCCATACATTTACTTTCTAACTTTTTCAGGTCGACAATTTCCTTTGCAGTCCTTCTGCTGCAAAGTACAAATTTAAGAAATAAATATATATGTGGACAGCAGCCCACAGAGGGTGTGATTTGACTGAATTTCTGGAGGGTGGAAGTCAGCTATTTGTGGTCTTGCTCTTTCAGTCTGCAGCAAAAAAAAAAAAGCCAATACTTGTTTTCCTTCTTTATTACTCTTCTTCTGTACGACACAGAACTTCCTGTTTCAAGATCACATGCCCAACTGAATGCAAACAGCCTCTCTGCACTGCTTGGTTTACAGCCATATAAGGACATAAAAATGTGCTATACGCTTTATTCCCCTACCTGAAACTTTTCATGTTGCTTTCATTGGCAATACATCAAATCTATCTATCTATCTATCTATCTATCTATCTATCTATCTATCTATCTATCTATCTATCTATCTATCCATCTATCTATCTATCTATGTGTGAGTCAGTTAAAATAAGTTTTAAAAAAGTAGTAAAATCTTATTGTGTGACTCAGTTTATTTCATACATACGGAGTTGGTTTCATTCAGAGACTTTTTAAATAGGCAGGCAATTGTATTAAGGTGATAGACAATTCTCACTTTGTGTTTTACACGTGATCGTCTTACTGTATACAGTGTGCCTTAAATAATGGGGCCCAACACCAAAAACCTAAAAGACAAACCTTTTCAACATGGCATCAATTTCAAAATTCTGTGGGTATTAATAACTGGTATTGTCAGTAAGTCATTCCAAGTTCATCTTTCACCTTGGCCATAGCATGCCTCCATCTGGAAGGTAGTCAGATGTTACTCATGAACTTGGTGTGTATCAAATGTCATCAGCAGACTTGCATCAAGACAAAGAACTACAGGCAGAGTTCGGGACAGACTCAGGATGCCTGGGTCCACATGATCCCTAGGGTTCGCTTTGGCAGAGGAGGTACAACAGTCCGGGCAAATATCACCATTCAGTCCAAAACAGTTTTGGTTATTGTAAATTTGGCTCAGTCCAAGCACATTCTTACCTCAGAGACATCATAGAGACACAACCATCATCCCCCAATTCTGCCAACATACCCCCAACTTTCATAGATCATAACACTCCCCCACATCGCGTCAGAATTGTCAAACTCAACTTCAGGAAGTAAGAGTGACTCATATGGTAGGGCTAGGAATTTCCTCTGACCTGAACCCCAAAGAGCATGTGTGGCACCAGCTGAAGCAGAGACTAGATTATCGTAGCCCAACAGCACGTCACCTAGCAGAACTGCATGTAACACTTGTTGATGTTGAACTTATGGATTCTACCAAGAGCGGAGGGGCGAAACACCAGCCCCTGGTAGATAGGGCAATTACTTGGTACTTTGTTCATGTACTTTGAGATGTGGTGTGCTGCACTTCATTTAAGGTGGCTGTGCCCTATTGTGCAGAGCAGGTGTTGGACGCGCAGCCCCCTATCTGGGATGCCTTAAGCCGACCATCACATTTCCCAAAGATTTCCTAGGAGCAAATATTCGATGTTCAATTAATGCTCCTGTTGTAGACCAGGGGCTGATCATTGATTGCCCTCAAGAAATCAAAATAAGCAGAAACACTGTGTGTGTGACACCAAAGTCATGAAAACAATTTAATACTGAAAGGGTAGAACAGAAGCCGAATTAGATGAGATATCATTTGAGATTAATTACAAGTGGAAAGCAGAGGAAATAACTTCATAAGTGCACTGGATAGTTCAGTGACAAAATCATCTATGTAATATAATTTGTGTGTGCGTGTCATATATATATATATATATATATCTTAAAAAGTGTCACAAAGTATGTGACACTTTTTCATGACGGAGGTAATTACAGCATGGCTTCTAATATGAATGTGGAACTTCCGTGTTAAGTGTTGCTTCAGCATGCTGCACTGGGACACAGATTGCTAGGGGCACTTTGGAGCTCTGAGACTTTTTCAGTTTTGAGCACTGCGACTGTGCTATGACGGGTCTGATCTTTGGTAACAGGGAATAAGTCTTTGGTAAATAGATATTAAATCTTATCAAAAATACTATTAACTCCCACCTGGCTTGCTAAAAATGCTTTAAATTTTCTTGCTCAGTCTAGAAAGACATGCACATCAACAACAGAGAATACAATTAAAAGGGCATAAATAAACAAATGATACAAATAATAAAAACAATACTTCCTGTTTTTGTTTTTTTTACTACTTTTGTTTTGAATGAATAAATAAATACAGCTTTAATTGAAAATTGGGATAAGTGATCATTCTTAACCCAAAGCACATTCGATTCAGTTGTCATGCTGCTCCTCTTGTACCCATTGAACTGTGGTGATGCAGGGACGCACTGTGAGGGACCTTCTCACCCAGAAGAGAATGTAATCAAGGTTTCTTGATTACATTCTTCCCTTTATTTGAATGGATGTTTAAGAGTCCAAACAGGGCTGCAAATAGTTATATCTACCTGTGGATTTTGCAATTCCACAAGCATTCCCCTTTAATATTCTAATCTATTTTGTTTATATTAAGATGGGAGGGATTAACACAACAGATGACTATTGGATATTGAATTCAGAATTCATTGTCAGCTGTCACCAGTGTTGTTCGAAATCTCAAAGGAAGACTGGAGATTTAGAAGTGCATCAAGTTGCAATGTAGCCAAACAAGCTGGACTTTACTAAATAACCCCCATATCTTAAAATGAAACACAGGTTCATAAGTTCACAGACCCGCTGCAGATAAAGCCTCCTGTTGCCTGCAGCTGAACACATATTCCATGCTCACAGCTGGCTGCTGTTATACCGTTAAACTTTTTTTTCAAATAAACACCATTGTGCAAAGACTTTACTCTATTTTATGGCAATATTTGGAGTCTTAATAATGCTTGTGACAAAGTTGGTGGGGACCACTAAAACTGTGCAGGTCATCATACACAGGTTAGTCCATCATCTACAGTACCCGTCTGGTCAACTGCAACTCTAATTTCATTCTGCCCTGTGAACAACAGTGTATTTTTCAAAAGAAACGATCCCACAGACCTATTATAGAATGATGATGAAGAAAAGATTTAGAATCAGTTAGCTATATCAGCATACAAAGATCCCCTTCCCCCAACATGAAACCGTCACAAGGTTTGTAATGTAAAAACAGTCCAAAGAAGGAAGTGCTAGCTGTTCCGGGATAAGCAGTTTGCTGACTAAACCTCAAACATTTTTAAACTCTGCAGAAACACCTGCAGTTCCGCTGCACTTCAGCTGTTCCGTGTGGAGAATTGGAAACTTATTTCATTTTCAGTAAATAGCAAGTTGAAGGAGAGCAAACATTTTAGTTATACAGATTATTCTAGGAGCTTATTTGAGCATCTGACTCTCAGATACAACTATATCTTTTCAATGAAGTGGAAGCTCCATTTATATGGTAACATGCATATTCATATATACTCCAACTTAAAATCCTAATTAATAAATTAGCATCTCTAAGTCTTAACCAACTGAAAAACCCAAGAGCCATTCCATCTTAAAAGAGGGGATTAATATTAAGTTGTTTTTTTTGGCTTTTAAGCAAGAAAAAAATTTCTATATAATATCTATGGGTAAAACAGCTTAATCAAAAAACTATTATGGACATTTTCCACTAGCATCTTCAATTCAGTTTAGGTCATTCTCAGTAACAAGTTAGGTAATTGCAGCAAGCTGGCTATACAGTCCCACAATGTTATTTAAATGCAAGACAGAATAGAGAGTAATTAAGGTTAACTGTGACTATACCTGGTACTCCTTCTCATTGGACCATGGTGTCAGCTTTACAGTTTTTTTAAGACAGGTAAACCAAACTCCTGTTCTTGAGGGCTGCTGCTATTGAGTTGAATTTAGTTTTACTTTTTGGGGGGTCTGATACATTGGGAAATACTCTTTTCTCTCAATTATGTGAACAGTATTGCTATTAGTTTCTCAGCTTTTTGTAGCCCCTGAAGACATTCCTATTCTAAAAAATTCAGAACCTGTTTTGCGTGTGATGTATGATCTTGAATAAAACACACTGTCAAGTTGCTTAAAGGGTATGTATGCCATAATTATATTTGTCTTTAAAACTGAGGTATTTTCAAAATTAATTAAAAAAAATGTCTTAAAAAACATGATGTTAAGTGCTTGAATTTTTGTTTGCGGTACCTCAATCAGGACTCGGAGCGGGCTGCAATAGCAATCAGATTAAGTAATAACAGTTTCCTGTAAAGACTGCGGTTTCTTTGCTGAATCTAGGAGGCTGACTGGTTTTCTACACAATTCGCTCAAGAGGTCTGCTTGCTTTTCTTGATAGTTACACAGCAACGACGGCACAGGATGGTTGTCATTTCCTCATTTAGAAATGGTAGACCCTTTTTATATTCCAACCAAGGAGCTTTTAGGTTTGAAAATAAGAATGACACCTACAAAACTAAAATAGAATAAAGTTCTCTAGCTTCATTTTCAATCATTATTTTCTTTGACAAAGACAACTGCAGTTTCTGAATAAAATTTTAAAAAGATAACTGAAAAAACATTAATTTCAGAACATAATTTATAGTCCCTAAAAAGTAAATTTCACATTTATCATTCAATGTGGTGAAAGTACCATCAGTGGAGTGATGGGGCTTTTCTTCTTGCAGCTGATCATTTTGTTCACTCCAAAAGTCTGGCAGACAACCAAAAACACATTTAGAGTTCTATTTTTAAACTTTAAATCATTAACCCACCAGATGGTTCTTTCACAGAACTACATAGGAAGACCCTCAAATAATCATTTTAGAAAAGAACAGGCAATTTAAAATATAAAGGACCTTATCAGTAAGTGGGTGATGAACCAAGCAGTGCCATAAAGAAACAGTGAATGGAAAGCAGCCTTATTGTCATCACACCAAAATGATGTAGATGCAGGCAAAAAGCATTTTCTGCAACTGTGATTTTGTGAATCTCACAAGAGATCCAACTACCTCATAGGGGAGACTAATCATTTGACAAAGAAACTGATAAAGCAACTTTATATTGTTAATTCAATAAGTTATTAAATGCTTTCTGGTTCAGGCACATATAAACCTTTCTTTCACAAACTTTCATTTAACATACATATGAAATGGATTGTTGTTCTGTGGCAAAGCACCACAGACAGATTTGAAGATAAACTCTAGCATTTTTAGGGGACATATTTATCTAATAAGAGAACAAATACAATCACAACTTGGCCTCACTATCCACATTAATAGAGTAGGAACTGAATAACTTCTGAAACTAAATGGTGACTACAGTATACTGGCTATGTCTCCTTCCCTAAAGCAGAACAGGAGGTATTATGGAAGGATTAGACAACAAAATAAGCCATGCAGTCACAGAAACTTCACACATATTGAAACCAATGCGAAGAGACCTTTCTCTTTTTTAACATCTTTTAAATTGGTCAAACATTTCACACACAAGTTCATTATCCCACACCTCCAAATAGCAATGCTGAGTCTTGCATATTATGAAAACGGCAATGAGTTATCACTGATTACCACACCCTGCTACTAAATGCTTAGGTCACAGCTGGTGTTGGTGTGTTGATGGGCTTGACAGGGTCACACCCACTGGTCAATATAGCAAAAAACAACAACTTCTGATTCAGACAGTAAATAATAATGCAAAATTACCCTGTAGAGCTATGGCACGCCGAGTGGGCACTAGTGCAAATGTAACATTAGTGCCTGCTCAGCCCTACAGAGTTTAGGAGAGTTTTCTTTATAAAACATGGCCTAGCAGAAAGACGGCGGTCGGCCGGCGCGTGACATCAACCAGCAACAATAAACCAACTGTTGTTGCATTTCCATTAATGCCTACTCAGCCTGGCACACCTCTACAAGGCATTTTAGTATTTCGACAAGGGGCTGGCTTCACGAAACAGTTACAGGTTTAGCGTCGAGCTGTCCAGCCGGAAGTCACATGGTTAGACAGCAACTCAGTCAGGTAAACCCCGCCTATTTTAAAAATGGGGCAACAACGAACGTCAGATTTAATTATTTCTGTGATAAAAAAAAACGTTGTAAATACCGAATGCACGAACCAATAACGCGCTCCAAAACCGAGGTTTAGTCGGTTTACAGTTGCCGCTTTGTCTTCGGTTTTTGTACCGTGCTCGTGTCGCGTAAGAATGACATCACGGTTGGCCCGTCTCTGGTCGGCCGTAATTTCTGATGGAAAACGACCTAAACCGTGTCGTGCCGTGCCAGGCCAAGCCGTGTAGGGCTAAGTAGGCACTAGGAAAAACGCTATATGTCATGTTGTAGCGAGTTCGTATCTGTGTCGCGCGCACTCACGGCTAGCACTGACAGACGCCAGAAGTGGTGTCATGGGGCGTGATCGGAGCTAATATTACGAGCTTTGTCATTCTGTTTGCAGGGTTGTTTAATTTAATTTAACCAATTAAATATTTTAGGACTGTTATGGGAAAGATGATTATGAAATAATCTTTATCAAACAACTATTCAATAGAACGGTAATGGTGTCTTTAATGGTTACTTTTTTAACGGATATCCTTGAACAATATGCTCGTTGTTCCCATATCTACCCCACTGATCAAACATTACAGACAGCATACTATTTGAAATACATTTATGAATAAGTAAATGAAAGTAATATCAAATTTAAAAGGGCTGGCTATCTGTTAGCTGGCAACAGCAATGCTAAATACTAGCGATCTTTTGTACATATAAACTTCTCAAACACGGGTAACCAAAGACAAAGGGTTGTAATGACAAGTCCACCAAAGGATAGCGGTGACGGGGTGTAATTGGGAATATGTTCACGCTTCCTATTTTAAGTTAGGACCTTACAAGGAGCCTCCGTTTGAGATTCGCAAATGAGCGGAAGTAGAGCTAAAAATAATAAAAGCAGAAGACATCGGCTGTGCTCGGGCCTGGGTTTTCTCCAAATTCCACTAAGTGAACAAAGGACATAATGCATCGAAATATCCTCTCACGTGCAAGTCAATATTGGAACATTAGTAGTTCCCATTGAGGCTTAACCTATAAATAATAAAAAATATTACCTTTTCCTCGTCGGATAGCTGCTCCTCATGATCCGCCATCTTTTCTTCCGGCACCACCAACTTGTCAGCGACCCAGTGACGTCAGCACATGGGTGGATTCCCATCCTGGATTCAGTGCTCATCAGGGGTGGGCAACTCCGGGCCTCAAGGGATTCTGTTCTCTAGGTTTTCCTGCTTCAGCGAACCTGATTCAAATCAACACAATATCAGCAGAGCCTTGCAGTGCTTAACAGTCTTATATTCATTGAATGATTTTAGCTGTTTGATTTTATTTTCACAAATTATTGTTTTTACTCATAACCTAGCTTCATCTACATTTCCACTTTCTGTCTTGGACTACTTGGATAACTTTCTCCTCCTGAGAATGATTTTTTTTAAATAGACATGACATTTTTATGAGGAGGTTCCTCATGTTTATGCTGTTGATTTTCTACACAACACATATTACCCCAAGTTAGTTTTATTAATATATAAAGGAATGTAGATATGGATTCTGTAGAATATGGCAATAACTTTAATACTAATAACATCTTTGAAAATAGCTAAAATGTTATGGATTTCTTTCATTTTTTGATGTCTTTAGATCTTAAAGAGCAATGTGATTATCAGATAATCTTTAGTTATTTCTGACAAAGTTTCACCACTAGAGGGGGAGAAAAGACTGTTTTCTAAAGCCAGAAGGTTCATTGAACTCTCAGAAAAAAATTCGATAAGAATATATAACAGCCACTGCGAGTTTGAAATAGTGAAAGATTTGTCAAATATAATCACGCACAACATAACCACTGGTAGCATTATTATATCTGAAGAACTTGATTTGAACAAAGAGCTGATGGAAGACTTTAACAAATATTCCCGACTTTTTTTTTTCAGTGTCATACCAGTCTTGTTTATTCATACTCCTCTTGATAACATTTAAAAGAACAATCTATCTATTTATTTTTCAAGGGACCTGCATGAGGCGATGTTGGCCTTGCAAAATAATGGGCCAGATTGACTCAGGAAACATCAGCTGTTATACATAAATCACTCACCATGACACAGCTCTGATGAAGATGGAAGTATTCCACTGTAATGTGTCACGTATGATTTGATTGCAAATAACAGCTCTGATAACAGAAGAACAAAAACCCTTGGAACGTATTTCCAAACTTACAAGGTTATGATATGAATCGAACCTTGACATGTTAAAATGTTTCAGAGTTTAACATAAACATTACTACAACTCCTCTATTTGTGAGGAAACGTTTAACCCTACACTGAGCCGAAAATTAAACTCTTCAAACGAGGTGTTTGCAGTCTGCTGGGTAAGCTATTCTCCATTATTCTGGCTCTTTTTTCCCTCTTTAAAGCTGGTAATTGTCTGTTATTTGTAAAGAATCAAAATGTTCATTTGATGCCAACTCTGCTGCTCTCTGTTCGCACTGGAGAAACCATTTTGGTACTCATTTTGCAACTGTATGGTAGCACTATTACAGGGAAATTGTGGTGATATGATGATGGTTATCGCATCCAAAAAACAAGCCCTTCTTTGTTCATCTTCAACCTTCACTTTCATCAGTGCCTTTTTGTTGAGAGAACAATAGTCTCCCCTAATATTTCATCTGTCATTACAGCCTGCAGCATGTAGTTAGACTCTTTTCTGATCTTTAAAGACCTTTTCCCTGTCCTTGTATTGAAATTAATACCAAACAACGAATTAAATTACCTTGTCTTTCTTTTAAGAGATTCACTTTACTTATGTATCAAATTATAGCTGATTGTTTTCATTTCTGCGTCAGTGAATCCCCATAATCTGCAAAATGGTTAAACTTTATTTTTAGGGATCACTACCAATGCAGTATTAAACCAAGGGACTTTTAAAAAGACAATAAACCCTATAATCTGCCTTGAGTTTGAATGGACTGCACAACAGCCATTGTGTGAACACCAGAGCTACTCATCCCCCTTTGGTGACTAAAAGGAGTATTGAGGGCACAATATCTCTGTATCAGAAAAAGGAGCTGCTCTGTGAATCACACCTAGCCGCTGGTTAGTCACCTCAGACACTATTAGCAGTGTTCTAAATTAAACTACCTAGAATATTCAAAAGAAACGCAATAAATGAGGTATAACGTGTAGACTGCTGAAAACAAACACAAAAAGTAGTTCATGTTTTTACTAACTTTATTCTTAGTTTTTCTGTCTTTCTCTAGCCCTTTGAATGGTAAATTATTCCTTGGCAGCACATCAATTGCCAAGGACAAAAAACTTATATTTCCACTCTTCCAGACAGTATTTGGTGGGATCTGCTTTGTGCCAGTTCAATAGCTGAATGAAAACAGATGGACGTCTTAACCTGTATATTTTCTGATGGACTTTCATATATTTTACTGATTGTTTTATAATTAGTTTAGTACTAGCTTATGAGGACATTAAAAATGGTCATAACCATACACGATGTCAGCAGCAGTGTTTAGCTCAAAGCAGTGCCTCACTGGGATAGTGGTACATTTATTAGAATTTATCATTCAAGTAAAGAAAGTCCCAATCTTGTGGATAAAAACGTAGGTTATGTAAGTTGCATGCACTGTGATTTGAGAAGATTGTTTTCGGTTGTAATTTGCTGATTGATAAGACTCAGAAGGACTGAAAATGTTGACAGTTTATGATTCACAGTGCCTCATCTCCAGTTGGATCTCTGGGACTTTGGTACCCTGTAAACCACAGATATGGGGTTTTCAACACCAGCCTGACAGTGAATACACTCCCCCAGAATTCCTTTGTATACCAGCACACCCAGCCCTGATTACTGCCTCTTGCCACAGCTATTACATTTTTGTGTGTGTTTCACTCAAAAAGAAATACCATATTTACCTCTCTAACAAAGCTAAAATAGAATCACAGCTTAATGCAGAAGTTGCGATAGTTTTTTTTTTACACAGAGTAAGCCTGTCCCCAAATACTGAGAAGATGAATCATTACACCACAAAGCATTGGCTTTGAGCTCCAGCTTTGGTGTATTTTACACAAAGTTATTTGTCACTGTAAGCTTTGCTTCCATAGAAGTAGTTTAAAAAAAGCAATGTCAGAAATTTAAACCTAGTGAAATTGAGAAATATAACATTTTATACACATTTTGTGGGTTGTAAAGGGACTGATGCCATGTAATTGTTCTTGAGGCTCATGTGTCATTCCTGCCATTAAGTTTTAAATCACTATTGCCCTTTTTTGTGTTACAGCGGTAGCTTCTCAGCATCAACTAATCGTAACTTATCTAACTATAAAATATTGCAAGTCAGATGGCGATCTGGGACTTTCCAGTTGCATTTGTCACAAATGCTTTAAAGTCAACACACATATCTTTCAAGCAATACTTTTATAACTTAGTTTCAGTGCCCATGTGGATAATCAAATATTCCCTGTATTTCTAAAAAATAATGTACCATCAACGGGGGTGCTAACCACCTAAGAGCATGCTCTCTCTGCTTCAGAGTGTAGATCTTAGTTTGATACAAATTCCATACAATCTTGTTACATTATCTTAATAAGGCTGATGCAGATCCTTAATACAAAAAACTTAAAGCTTACTTTATCTGCGCAGGCAGACTTTGTGGGGCAGCCAGTGTAATACACGTCCCAGGTTTCACTCTAGCAAAAGCCATGAATGAGTATAATTTGACTCAGCAGGTCAGAATTGCACAGGCTGACTTCACCTTATCATGAAGATAACAGTCTGTCCATGAGTAGGTAATGGTTTGTTTCAGTGGTATTTATCCAAAACTTCTCAAGAGTCAAAAACAAATCCACTATAGGCTTGAAAGGACTGATTTTGATGGTAAGTATGTGTATGTAAGGCGACTTTTGGTGAAGTGCTTACATGCATACCAATGCTACTTACTCACTTGATGACTGCTGCATCAAAATCCTGTATGTAATCTTGCCATGTTTCAATCCATGGTCACACCTGTCCCCCCTTTGAACATATGTGTAATTATGATTTAAGCAAAGAATCACTTGCAGAATGAGACAGGCACAACCACTCAAATACCCAAATTGACACTGGTAGATAACAACATAGTTGAGGAAGACTAAAAGGCTGCTGTTGACTTTATCAGGGATTAGTAAAAGGAAGTGTGAGCTATACTTACATGACTGAGTTAATGTGTTTGTCACTTTAGTCAGACTGCATTTCATTTTTTCATGATTACCTTATAAAAAAATGTATGCTGAAAATAATCCTTATCATTTAGTACATCCTTGAGCTAGGTTTTTAAATGTGTACTGTGTTGCTAAAGAACACGTTTGGTCATAGGAGGCTGGCAGCATTAAAAGCATCAGGGTGAAAGATTGCTAATGTGGAGTGATGAAAGACAAGAAAAGCCTGTGTGAATAAGTTGGATTCTTAGAGTGAAATGCAAAGTCAGACATGCCTTCAGCTCATGTTAGCTGGTGTTTAACACAGTTGTTTTTTAGAAAAAATGTAAACCATTGAACATGGATTAAAGCCACACTCTCCTGATGTCCTGGAAAATTCCACTACTGCATTTAAAAAAAACATGTTTCTATTGTTATTATTTTGCAGGCTTCTTTAACTCGAAATAATAATAATAAATTGTTGTTTGGAATACTGAAAAAAATATTTTCATGGCTTATCCCTTGTACAAAAAAAGTGCAAAACCAACAACAAATTATGGAGGGACTTCCGGAGGACGTAAAATGGAGTACTCACATTTTCCAATGCTCCCACCTCTAACAGTACAACTGTACTAATATTTCACAATATATTTGTGAAGTTACTAAAACCTTTTATGTCTTATTGGAATTTTGACCAGTTGATAAGACATTACATACAGATAAGACAATTACAAAGAAGTGCAGAAAAAGATTGACTGGACCATCATGGCTGTGCTGCAGACCAGAAGAAGTCCATTTCAGTAGAGTTCAAAGCAGCATTTACAAAGCTATATACAAAACTATAACACTCTGAATCCACCACTGCTACTCATCACCAGCGTATTTCTTCAGTGGAAACCGCTGCTACTACCATGAGCGACGACATTCAGGCAATTCAAGCGAGGCTGGCCATGGTGACTTGAGAGACTGGTAAACCGAAAGATAACAAACTTAATTTAGAATGTTGGAGTTGCCGCAATAATGC